GGTAAATATTAACGTTATTAACACAGTTTGGTAGTTAACCCTGATAGATTTAAAAATTATCATTTAATAACTAGATGAGAACGTAATCTGGATGACAAATTAAAGTCATTTTATTTTGTTTTCAAACACATGGCAGAAGTATTTTCTTACAACACATTTGAAAAACATATCACAAATAAATATCGAAAATATAGATATTTTTATTAACAAAAAATTTGAAAATAAAAAACAAAATCAAATCAAAACAAAAACCTAATTATCTTCATATCAATTGTCTTACAATTGACTTCTACTCGACATTGAGATGAAGGTATTCGGCGACAAACACCTGAAGTATCTTTAATACGTTACGAATGGTAGGAAAGTCCAGATTCTCTCTGTTGTCGGACTCCCGGTGCCAAACGGCCGGGAATGGTGTGGCGATCACGTGCACAATGGGTACGTTGCGTCTGAGGAATGGCATGTGGTCGTCCTCCACGTAGTTGAATGTTTGCCGGGCGTTGAAGTACGCGGTCTTTTTACCACTCGCTTTTGTTTCCAGTAAATTCATTTCATTTAACTTTTTCTCTATAAACAAAAAATGTATAAAATATGATATTAAATGCAATTTATTTCTAAACTAATAATCAATTTTCAAAGATTGAACTGAAATTATTTTGTAATCTAATTACCGATTTCTACGATCCGATTGAATAGCGGTTTAGTGTTGGGATAGAAGCTATAGAATCGTGGATTCTGTGCCCCAATTAAGTCCAACAGAATTAGTGACTCGATTCTGTCCAACTCGCGCACCGGTTGGCCAGTCGTGCCGTTAGCGCACCGGCTCTTCAGCTCTTTGGGATACGCACTGCGACTCCATTTGTTGGCCAAATGCCGGGAGCCGTACAGCGAGTCCTCGTTAGTCCACTGGACAAACGCCTCCTCGCCGTCAAAAAACACCAGTTGTAAAGTCGTGTCACTGTTTGACTGTTTTAAATAAATTATAATTAAAATATTATCGGAAATTTAAATATAATAATTAAATTTTTATTAAAGCAAACGTGGTATAAATCAGAAAACATTTAACATGTTTAAAAATGGGAATTGGTTAATAATTTAAAATTATGCCTAAATTCCTGATTATATAATTATAAAATTAATTTATCAGTAAATGATCAAGCACATAATTTAACTGCGTTTGCAATTAACAAAATGTGATACCTTTTTGAGATATTTGTCGAGAGTGAGGGCCAGTTGTATGATGAGAGCGCAGGGGACGGCCGAGTCGGTGGCGCCCAGAAATGTCTTCTCCCGATTGAGTTTGGAGTCGTAATGACAGGCGAGT